GACTCGAACCACTGTTGCTCAGAGCTCAAACTCTTGGGCGAGCTCTTAACCAACTGAGCCACTCAGCCAGCCCCAGTCTTCCTTCTCTTATCTCTCAGCCTTTGCCCAAGTTCCCCTAAATATTTACAATAACTTTAAGTTCCAGGGGAAGGCTTATCTTTTCTGGGACATTTTCCTTAATAAATCCACCTCATCTCATAGAACTGCCTGGATGTAGCCGCAGCTCATCCCTCTCTCTCACTCCCACTTTTGTGATTATTGTCTTTATCTGCATCTGTTTTCTGTTTAGCTCCCAAATATATTATATGAGTCCTAGAGAACCTTTTATTTTTATCATATGTTCAAGAAATGCTTGTTGATTGACTGAATACCCCAGGTGCCACAAAGGAAAGTTCTTTTGGGGTCATAGTGGGGGTTTTTTGTTTTTTGTTTTTTAATTTAAAAAAAAAATCTTGAGTAAAGGAGGGAATGCGATCTGTCTGATCTTTCTGAGACTTTCAGACTTTGTCAACATCTATTTGGAAATAAATTCTTAGGCAATTAGATCATGATATCTTGCTTTCAGACAGCATAGAGAAATGAATATAAACCCTCAGAAAAAGAGAAAAAAGATGTGAAGACTAGAGCTGGAATTTGACACTCTTGGTCATGTTAGGATATTGCAACACTTAAAAATTCAAAGGCTTAAGAAAGGAAAAGTTAACTTGGAAGGATACAAGTCAAAACATTCACTATGCTCTCTAAATTGCTTATCCTTAACTCAAATCCTTTATCTATTCTAATTGCAGTGGCAGCAATAGAAGTTTTCTTTCAGAAGTTCTTTTATTCAGAAGTTTTTTACTGTAAGAAGTTCAAGAATGTCTCTTCCAATGATTTTGGACTTTTTGGGTCTCGTGCAAATTTAAGTTATTGATCTCTTTCAGAGTTCTTGTGCTAAATGGATTTTCACCCCCTAAATGTGTCTTGTTTTGGTCATGTAATTAGCATCTTTCTCTCTTGCAAACTCTTGGTGGTGTGGTGGTTTTAAAATATGTCTACAAATTCTCTGACACGTGTTCCTTCAAAAGGGAGAGCCTAATTCTCCTCCTCTTGAGTGTGGACTGGACATAGTGGCTCACTTCTAGTAAACACAGAACATAGCAGATGTGACAGTGTGTGACTTCTGAGACTGGATCATAAAAGGCACTTCCTCTTTGTTTTCTCTCTTGGATTACTCACTCTGGGGGAAGCCAACCACTATGTTGTCACGAGGCCCCTTGAGCAGTCTGATACGGAGGTCCACATGGCAAGGAACTGAAGTCCCCTACCAACAGCCAGAATAAACTCTCCAGGCTTGTGAACGAGCTACCTTAACAGGAAATTCTCCAGTCCCAGTGACACCTTCAGGTGACTGCATCCCTAGCTGACTTAGTGACTGCTGCCTCATGAGAGACTCCATACCAGAATCACACACCTATCCACTCCCAGATTCCCCCAGAAACTGAGAGATATAATAAAGGTTAATTGTTTTAAGTCACTAGATTTGGGGGTAATTTGTTTTCTGTAATAGATAATATACTTGGTGTCATTTCTTGATGGTCTGCAATTTGGTAAACAGAGAGATAAAGGGTCCAAGACTATCCCAGCTGGTCTCAAAACACTGATTATTTGAAGGTAAACATATGCTAAGTGGTTGACTTTCTCTTTGTTCTCCCCATTTGTCATTTGTGATAAGGTTGGTTGTGGGGACCCATGGGTAAAAGGATCTTTCCAAGTTGATGAGATATTTGACAAAGTATGATTTTCCTTGAGCAGCCTTTCTCTTAGCAGCTATTGCCTTAGTGAAGATGCCTGGAGATTTAAAGGAGAAGTCCTTTCGGTGAGGCAGCATAAGGAAAAAGAATTCTGGACTAAATGTTCCAAGTCTTGGCTCTACCAACACGATTTCTGTGATCATGGACAAATAATTTCACTGCTCTGGAACTCAGCTTCCTCGTGTGGAAAAAGAGGAGTTGGGATTGGATCCGCCTTCCCAGTATATGTCCCATAGAACTCCAATTCTTCATACAGTTAACAAGAATTACATTTAAAGGGCAGCCAGTTAGCTCAGTTGGTTAGAGCACAGACTCATAACACCAAGGTTGCTGGTTCGATCCCCACATGGGCCACTGAGTTGTACCCTCCACAACTAGATTGAAACAACTACTTGACTTGGAGCTGATGGGTCCTGGAAAAACACACTGTTCCCCAACTAAAAAAAGAAAAAAGAATTACATTTAAAAACAGAGGTTCTGAGTCCAAGTAAGTTTAGAAAACCAGCAGACTAAAGTTAGGCAGATTTCTTACTGCAGGACTTCACAGAGCCTCTAAGACACTAATATGAATTATGGATCTTCAAGATGAGGATATGCAGTTTTCCAAATTTATTTGACCACTAAATACTTGATTATTTTTAGCAAAGCATCATGTGAATCTAAAGAGTTTGGGGGGCACACTTTGGAAAATGCTAAACTGATTATTTCTGAGGCTCTTGCAGCTGTTATGCTCTGTTACAAAATAAAAATGCCTTACCCAAGGAGCCTCTCTCAGGAGGGCAGTTCTGTTGTCTAAATCCTGGAGCAGGATCTCAGACATTCAATAATTCATGGCTGTGTTTATTTTCATTTTCCAAACATCAGTTCTGAATCAGAGGGAATGTAGGCATCTAGTATTAATCTTTCCCCTTGGTCCTGGTTGTGGTAGTGAAATAGTTTCAATCACGTGGAAGACGGCACTACTCTATGGGGTGATGGAGCTACAAGATATAAAGAACCACGCTGCTCGGATAGCTTCAGGGAGCAGAGGCTCCCTGGTCTGCCCAACTCCCTCTGGACTCCTAGGTGAAAGAGAAATCAATCTTGATCTTTTGGAGTCTCTTTGTTACAACAGCTTACCACTTTCCTAATATAATGCAGCTATAATAATATCTGCCAGGCTAGTTCACAGTGCTTTGTGAGAATCGAACCAGAGCATACTTGCAGTATATCTTGTAAAGTATTAAG